ATCACTTAGAGCAGTGCCTGGCATATAGTATACTCTCAGTAAAGAAATAGGAACTTATTATCCATCTTCCCTCTAATTGCTTCTGCAAAGTGTCTAACATGGAGCAGACTTGTAATAAATAATCACTTAGAAACAAATGCATGATGAATGTATAAAGGAATGAATACTAAATGATTAAACCTCCACTGGGGGAGAAGCCAGACCTCAAAAATGCAAATACAGAATAAGTATGAATTTGAGAGAGAAAAAGAGAATTACAAATGAGAATACAATGGTGGAAAAGGAGAGAAGAAAATATGAAGAAACAGAAGAGAGTAGCAGTAAAGAGAAAGGTAGAAAAGGTATAATCAAGAAAAATAGAAACTATTGGCCAGAAAGAAAATTTTATTCATGATTCTTTCAGACACCTCACCCCCAGGGGATTATTTCAGCCTAGCAGCTAATATCAATTTCCTGGAATTTTCTTAAATCAAGGTAACATACACTGGTTGTAAGTGACTGTGATTAGGTGTCTGTGGCCCTTCAAAAACTATTCCATGCTATCTTACAAAACTCATCGTGATAATGCTAATTATGTTCAAGGTCATGAATGTTTGGGCTGCCACTGATAATATGGCAAGCAGTCTATGCAAGAACACTGCACAGCAGTTTTCATTTATAGGAAATGGGATATGACAAGGTTTAAAAGACTTCATATCTTATGCTTGTAATGCCTACACAATAAAGGTATGTTATCAGGGTAACATGCAAAACAGTATAAAATAGGTAGAACATACAACTCATTAAAGAATAGTACAGAATACAAAACAGTATTAGTTACTAGTGTTCATTTTTCTGAGACTATTTCACTTTAATGATTAATAGAAGAAATGCTGAAAATATTTTTAAAGTTAATTAACTTGCTTAACGGGAGTCTATTTAATATAAATTAAATATATAGAACTACACATAGAGACATATATTTATAATTTTAATACTCTCTATGTAGAGTAATACTAGGATCAGATAGGACTATACTGTCTTTAGAATAAACCATTAAAATTATAATATGTTAATAGATGAACACAAGATTTCTGCTAGCAAGAGTTAAACAAATGTGTAATGTAAATGCTTGTTATATTTTACAAAATAATTTTAAAAATTTGAACTCAAGTGGAATAAGTATTTACAGTATAATATAACGTAATACTATACTATAAATTAAAATTATTAATATGAAAAAAATAAGTTAACTATTTTTTGAATTTTTAAATCAATATTTTTCTAAATTTTATTGACATAAAATCATGCATCTAAATGATAGATAAAATCAGATATACAGTTTTTATGAG